GATCTGTGGAGGCGCTGCGCTGGCAGTTCTGGGAGGGAAAAAAACATTTTTGACCGTTGGTGCTAATCCTAATTTTCGACCTTGATGTAACAACATTCATAATTAAGTAGATGTAACACCCTTTTCACCCCGGTTACACGTTTCATTTGCCCTGTACAATGGGCGCTGCAAGTGATGAAAATGGGGGATGTTGGCTTATCTGGCACCCGCAGCTCACAGCCAAAATGCGAGGGAGAGAGGGAGGGTGCACCGGTTCCGGCGCAGTTGTTATTAACATCTGGTGCTAGCTGCTCTAACGGATATAAGAAGAAGATGTTTCTACCTTGTGTAGGGATAGTCCTCTCCAGTCAGACTGAGAGGCTGATAACTACAGCTCAGTGAGGTAAAGGACTCTTAGTCTAAATTCAAACGGTTTGGTCGCAATTTATGGAAACACATATTTCCAAGGCACTCCTTTATAATTATTGGGATAAACAGGTTTGAAATCATTCCAATGTATACTATAGGACAGTAACCAAAAATATCCTTTAAAACTGGAGATAAAAAAAAATGCATAAATAAATAAATGTTAAGGTAAAATAAGATATGAATGAACAACACAAATAAAATAAGTTACATTCATTTGTTATTGGCTATGGTAGGTAATTGGTTATGTTCACTTATTTGATTACATCCACTTGTCTAAGATGACAACAGAGACTTTCGACCCAAACCCAGCTGTTGACTTGTGGATGCAAGCAGATAATCGCAGACTCAACCAGAGAGAAAGAAGTAGGCCTACATTATCAGCTACCATGTCTGACAGAGAGGAAGACAGTGAGGAGAACAGTCAGGAGGGTAGTGATGACACTTGTAGGATTACTGGTCGTGCTAATGTTGTCTTGTGTTCACCTCTGCATGTGTGTTCTGTGTTCACCTCTGCATGTGTGTTCAGTGCCGTGTGTCTGGCAAATAAAGACCCCCTCAAAAGTTACGGTTTATTTCATTTTAAGGATGAGCACCAAGCAACATCTCCAGGTGCTCCTTTGAGAACCAGGGCAAAAAAGTTATGTGCACCCCTGGTTATAATAGTCAGATTGCTCTGAAGATGGGAGGTGATGTTCTATTCATTTTCACGTTCACACAGTCGGTGATTTTGGCCGGCCGTCTTTCCTGCAATGGCAGTTTAAACTGTATTTCCACTCACTGAGCTCTGATTGGTCAGCAGGCGTGGTGCTTTCGCTGAGTTGATCTCTTATCCTGGAACCTATCCTGCTTCGGAGCACAGACTTGGTTCCAGGATAAGTCACCATGGAGATCTAGCCCGCTAAAAAGTGAACCAGCTTCGTAGTACCGGAAATCCCAGAAGTTATCTTGCTAAACGAAAATCCTGCTTCGTAGTATACCCCCCAGGTTAGGTTGCAGGCTAAGAGCTCAACTCAGTGAAAGCACTGCCTGCTGACCAATCAGAGCTCAGTGTGCGGAGTTTAAAGCGATCAAGTCATATTACAGGAGAAAGGAAATACAGAAAAGCTGCCGTTGCAGGAAAGATGGCCGGCAAAAATCACCGACTGTGTGAACGTGAACATTAATAGAATATCACCTCCCATCTTCAGAGCAATCTGACTATTATAACATTAGTGTTAAGAAAGCTTACTTAAATATCTGCCACAACATAAGTAACCGGATCAAAGTAGCCTAACATTAAGTAGGCTACAGTCCGCGGCATATCACATCATAATGTAACATATATTTCCTTATCTGAGTCAGCTGAGCCGTATCTGGCCGTGCAACACTCACAGTGTCACAGACTGTATGCAGAAGTATTATTTTAAGCAACACATTAAGTTGACGAAACACTCGAGACAAATGTAGGCCTGATTAAAGTCAGATCCACTCGTGTCTTAGACGGGGCAGTGATATCATAAACCTGTTAATGTACGCATTCAAACACTTTTACCAGCTGTATTCACCTTGCAGGTGCAACTATGTGGCTTTTAACCCTGGATAAAGTGTTTGAGTCATGTTTAAAGTTTAACGTCTTCATATTTGTCTAATTATATAGTGGACTTTTCATTCAGGAAGTATGACGCTGCGCTGTCAGTACGCTTCTCCATGTTTGTGATTGGTCGAATGCTCCAAATACCACCCCTTTCATGTGAACGCGCACCTAACTAGATAGGACACGGCTGGCTTGAGCGATCCACTTGATAACCCGCGTCGTAGTACCGTTTAGCGAGAGCATGTATGTTTTGGATTAGGCCAACCGGCTAACTCAAACATATCCAGGTTAGGTTGAACCAGCTTCGTAGTAAAGGCCCCAGGTTTACTAATCTACCCGCACAATTTGTCTGGTGTCGGAATGTCTCGCTATGTTAGTAGATTTTTTAAAAACAAAACACCATTTCATTTCAGATTAAAATGTGTTGTAACTGCGTTACTGAGCATTGTAACGGGTAATATATTACCCACATTTCATAAGTAATGCGTTACATTACTTCGTTATAGCAAAAAGTAATATATTACTGTAACTCCATTACTTTTGTAACGCGTTACACCCAACACTGGCTTTGTGTGGGTCAAGGAATATTTACCATCCCACACAACGCCAGCTGAATGACGTTTATGAATAACTGAGATGCCTCATACTTTGAAATGACAAAAACTCTGTAAAAAAAGAAAGAAAACAGACACAGTAAACCTGTGTAGCCTCAGCCTCACATCTAAAGACACTCTGCTGTCTTCATAACTAATTTTCACGCATTTTAAATCAGTGCATGTCTCTCAGTCTTGTCATATCTAAACTGTGCCTCCACCAGACGGAAATCAGAAAACAAATCAAGTCCTAGACCCAGACAAACCACTGTTGCATAACTAATTGTCAGCTGAAAGTGCTGCTGCCCCTCTGCTCGTTATTGCTGAACAGCGCTGTGAAAGAAAAAACAAAAACAGATGAAAACAACATCTTGAGGGTGAGATTTACATTTAACAGTTAGAGCCACTGAATGTAAATATCTGTCAATCACAGCAGCATATAGGGTTGCATGTCAACATTATTAGTACTGCAATCAGGCTAAACTCTCCTCAGTTTGCATTAGCAGTAATTCATTACCTTACTAATGATGTCAAGAAAGGAAAACAATAAATGGATTTGGCAAGCATCAGTAACTTTGCAATCACAGGCATCGACGATATGAAAGAAGCTTGAAGTGTGACTAATTAATTAGCATTTAACCATTCAACCAACTTCAAATCAATTCTATATTTTAAGGTATTATTTATTCCATGATCTGTTATGTGTTATGTTTATGTGCAGTCATAATGAAAAAGACCAGCGAGAAGTCTAAACCTCTCTGAGGACGCTGCATTACTAACAATGGTCAAATTTCTCTAAGTGATTGCTCAGTTTTATGGGCAACTTGTTTTATGCAATCATAAAAATCAGAAGAACCTGAATTTTATAGTTGCCAATTTAAAATGGTACACTCTTTATACAAGCTTTCCACTGTTCAATTAGGAACACAACAACAATATGCAGAGGAAGAAGACAAGTGTAATAAAAACGCATCCTCAAATAAGGGACGGTATTCAAATTATTGTAGGGGGAAGGGAAGGAAACTCATTATTAGCAACACAAATTACGTTTTGAAGCAAATGTCAAGTAGACTGGAATATATTTGTTATACTTAACATTATATATATATATATATCATATATCGCATATATCTACTTGTAATGACAGCAGCATAATTAAACATTTGTATGATTATATTCAGGTACTGAAAAATCATGATGTGGTTTATTAAAGAAAATGTAATCAGCATTTCAAGGATATAGGGTTGCATAATAACGCATGTCAGACAAAGATAACAGAATAATGGAAATAAAGTCACCAAATGAATGAACCAAATATTTGGTGCTAATAAATTTGCAGCATGTTCGCAACCAGGAATAATTCAAAAATCGTGGGATGGAAAAAGTTTAAACATCCTCCCGTTATCCCCTGGAAATAAAGACCCTTAAACAATACATAATGTAATCTTCCCCCTCTCTGACCGCCACCCTGATCATTTTCGTGCAGTCCCTAAATTATACCACAGTTAATGTAACCAGCTTTTCATCGCAGCGATCTTGCTAGCAGAGTATTTATTTGTAATACTATGAATAAAACATGTTTTATATCTGTTTTGATATGTAACACTACAGGAGAGTAAATATTACATTACATTGCATTTAGCAAATATGTTGGGTTTGAGAAATATCTGGACACCCCAGCATGGCTCATTATGTTCTGCATAATACCACAGCAGGACATTTGGGACTGCTCCACAAATGAAGAACAAATAAACGTACATGCTGCCCCGTCACGTTTTATTAAGGCGATAGTGTTTTTGTTTCAGTTGACATTGCTAACATATTTCAATTTTATCAGGACATTTTATTTAACAACATATTGGCTTCATCACAGAGTCAAAAATTAAGGTTCATGTTGCTGGCAACATAATTGATCCACGCTGTGAAGGACAGGGAGCATGGGGTTTTCTTCTGTTCCAGACCTTCGCCTTTAAAGATCGACTCTTTCTCTTTTACTCTGGTTTCTTTCACTGCTCGTTCCATCACAAGATTTCTACAGGAAGTATTGATCATGCACGCATCTGCCTTGTGCATTCATGAAGAATGTGACCTGTAAGTAATTGTGCTGTCCCCTGAGGACGCCTGGTGAAAGGTGAAGTCAGGTAGTCTGATTTCATTTCATGGTTTCTTGGTGTAGCCTATCCTGTGTCCTACAGAAAAGCATAAATAACCCAGCTATTGATCAAGAATAAGCCACTGCTGCAGTAAAATTATAACATGTCGAATTGGTGATGGGAAAAGGACATGATAATATAGAAATTGCTCTAATTTATGTTTGCTTCTAGTCAGGAGCCAGTAGTGAGAAGATAACTAGAGTACATACCTAAAGGTTGAACAGGTTAGATCTATGCTCTGTACATGGCTTGATGTGTGATTGTTAGATAGCGATGCAATGTGACAGCCAGCAGAAGCTCAGTCCTCCGCTGAGCTTCTACTCTGACAGCTACAGAACAAACAAGTAACTCAAAACCTTCCAAAAGCCCCAGCACATGTGTTTTCTTCAAGCTCCTCTTCCATTTAATACTGCATGCACGTAAATATACCGGCAACGTGGAGAAATAAAATGTCAATATATACCGAATGTGTTCCTTTTCCTCTGACCTTTCAGAAGTTATGAAGTACACCAACTCATATCAGAGCTGCTGTTGTGCAAGAGATATTGCAACCTGATCAAAACAGGTTATAACCGCAGCAGCATTTAAAACATAAAAAAGAGCCACCAGTTTCTCAAATCATACCAGATGATGAGTTAATGTTTCAAAAGATTCATCAGGATTGAATGAGTTATCAGCAGCTTATAAGCGCCCTCTTCTCTTGATCGATCATTTATAAATCAAACATGCATCATCATAACTCCATCCTAAAAACAGCATGAGACCCACTTTAAACTGTCTGCACTCTGTTTACCCCACCATCAATGTGATGGGTCTGGGGAGGCCTCGTAATGCATCCCAAGGTTTCAATTTGGCCGATTACTGATGGGAGTAATCATTCTGCCTGAGCGATGGATCATGAGCGAGTCTCCTTGGGGAGAACATAAACACCAGAATGTTAGGGTGAGTGAAGCAGGCAGGACCCAAACGCAGAATAAACAGAAAAAACTAGGACCACCAGGGTGGGTGGAGGGGGTCCGGAGGACGGGTTTGGACTGAACGCCCAGGAGCACAGCGGAGGACCCGGAAGGGATCTCGGGCGGACGGCCCGGGGGCAAGGCAGAGCTTGCGGTGGGTGTCTCAGGCGGACGGCCCGGGGCAAGGCAGAGTTCACAAAGGGGCGAAGGCCACAGCGGGCAAACTCAGGGGGCTGAGCATGAGGGCGAAGGCAGCGGCTGGAAGAGTCAGGGGGCCGAGCCCGAGGGCGAGGACCGCGGCCGGGAAAGTCAGGGGGCCGGGCTCGAGGGCGAAGACCGCGGCACTCAGGGGCCGGGCTCGAGGGCGAAGACCGCGGCCGGGAAAGTCAGGGGGCCGGGCTCGAGGGCGAAGACCGCGGCACTCAGGGGGCCGGGCTCGAGGGCGAAGACCGTGGCTGGGGAACTCAAGGGGCCGGGCACAAGGACGGGCAGGAGCTGGTGGAACCCCTGGCGGGTCAGACGTAGACGAGACCCTGGACGGAACCTGGGCTGGTGTCAGTGGGACCCACGACGGAGCAAGGGCTGGTGTCGATGGGACCCGAAACAGGACAGGACACGGTGTTGGCAGGACCCCCGGCAGAAGAGCAGTCGGCGGGACCCCCAACGGCACAGGACACAGGGTTGGCAGGACCCCCGGCAGAAGAGCAGTCGGCGGGACCCCCAACGGGACAGGACACAAGGTTGGCAGGACCCCCGGCAGAAGAGTAGTCGGCGGGACCCCAACGGGACAGGACATAGGGTCCAAACGATAGCTGGGGATTCTGGGTAGTGTAGTGTCTTCTGCCATCCTTTACTCAGAAAAAATATTTGTTTCTCCGAATCGAAGGGGAAAAATACAAAAGCATTGCACACAATTTAAACCAATCAATGTTGTGTAATTAACAAGGATAATCTGGTGTTTTTTAGTCGATGAGTAGTGCAGATATCACTGTAAAATCAATCGACAGTAAGAGGAATACTTACTTCCGGGTGTACAATTCTCCGTTATCCAATGGGAATGGACTCTCACATTGCCTTTAAGGGCAGCCGACACAAACGAATGCCGTGCTTCCATGAGCGTCAAATCCCGCCGCAGATGGGAATACATTGCAATCAGTTGAAAGCTATTTGCGTCCCTTTATGACGCTGAAGGAGCCTAGGAGCGTCACAACTGGACGCCACGGACACCGACCAAACGTCGCTCCTGGACGCTTCTCAATACTCAAATTTCCCCTCCTCGACTGCTCGACTCCTCGGTCCTCCGGTAGTGACCCGGAAATGAATTTCAGCGCGCCATTTTGAAGGACGTCTCATTTCTCTAAATGCACACCGAGGACCGAGCATCGAGCGTCGAGGAGGCTCTCTGGAGGAGCTATAACCGCACATATGTAAGTGTTGACAATGATACGTTGCATTATTTATTTAAGAAGTGAAATGCGCGATCAAACTCTGCACGTCTGTATGCAGTTAGAGCCTTCTAACCGCATTCCTTATTGACATTTCACCTGATATTCTTTATGTTTGTATCCACATTTTAACTACACCCAATCCTGCTACAGCATGCTATGATGAAGGCGAGACACGGCAGGCAAAAACATCGTTTTTCAAGTACTGGTCAATTTTGAGATTTTGTGCTATTTTGATTCCATAACATGTTTTCTTTCAGGCTTTTGGAAGGAAAACGTACAAAATACACATTTAAGTGTTTATTTTACTATAGTTTGTCTATTTGCGTCTGTAGATTTCTCCTAAATTCACCAAAAGTTAGCATTCTAACGTAACATAAAGTACCTCGACCGCTGTGTGCACCATGTCAACAGAGGTATCGCTGGAAAGCTCCGTCTCTCCTGCACAATCTCATCGGATCCAAATATGGTCATTTCCTTTGTATCAGCAACCAATCGTGAAAGCACAAAGGGGTCTTAAACCAAGAAACGAAATCTCATTGGCTGGTGTCAATTTCTGACAACGTGATTCGTTCAGATGCGTCACGTGGTGTGCTAAAACACTTCCTGGTTAGCTTTCAGCTAGAAATTGAAATCTCAAAATGCCAAAAGAACGGCGAAAAAAACGTTCACAGAGAAGACGACAACAATTGTCACTTGCACGAAGCAAGGTTATAAAAAATAAAATGACCCTGAACATGAAATACCTTCACGGAGTGCGTCGATGCGCAAGCTATCATCCAAAGAACAGGAAGGTTTAGCTAGCGCCTCACTGCAATCTTTAAAGGTCGTTTTCTCAAAATGAGTTTTTTCTCCTACTCTGAGTTCGAAATTTCAACTTCAGTAGCACGTACATACACCAAACCTTCCAGTTATATTCCTATCAATATTATGAAGGCTTTTACAGAAGGGTTTGTTCATATATAATTCATAGCCTGAATTATACAACATTGTATACCTAAAAACATGGCGAAAATGGATATTTTAGGGCTGTTGACAGTATTTTCTGATTTATGGAGTGATAAAAAGAGATATCCAATATCCCTTCTGTAAAAGCCTTAGATACTAATATGACTACAAAATGAAACAAGAATTTTGAATCTGGCTATATCCAAAGTTCAGATTTCGATTCCTGAAATGTGTTAAAATATGTGCATATTTAATGAGATAATGGATCATTTGCATATTTAAACATGCTATTTCAGAAAACTTGTAATACAAAAGACAATTGCCTTATTGTAAGTAATTAACTGGAGAAATTTCTAGCTGATACCTTTAAGTTAAAAAAATTACCCTATTCACCTGGGGTGTCTCGCAAAGGGCAAACGTTTATTTATTTTTAAGAGTATTAAATCAACACGAACTTTGTTTAGCATTCAGCACTATCATTTGATTTGGGCTATGTTGTTATACACTAGAATCAATTGCTCATTACAGAGTCGGTAAATCTTCAACAGTTTTAAGCTACACCTTTTTACTTTGTCTTTTCATAAGGACAGAGGAGGAAACTCTGACCCTCATTAAAGTGAGGGTCGAGAATGACGAGCTTTTCACAGGCCGAAGGCACACTGCCAAGAAAGCCTGGGAGTGAGTGACATTTTCCTGGTTGGGAACATATGATCCTTAGCATTTACGTATTGGTGGTTACAATTTGTATTTTCATATTGTCTGCTGAACCTGTGAGTTTAAATATTGATTGCTTTGATAGATGCACCTGTTGCTGCAGACCTTATTAATTGCTGACCAGCTTGAAACATCTCTTGTGTCACTCAGGGAAGTTCTAAAGGCCCTTTGGCTATTCGGTTCTGTAAGCCCCACACAGATCAGCAAAAAGTGGGACAACTTGAAACGAAAATACAAGGTAGGCCTAATTATGTTGTCATTTTTTCGTTTACTCTTATATGTCTGTATGCGTGTATGCGTATGCGTGTCTGTAACCATGGTTGTGTCTGCTCAGCATGCTGATGTGAAACTTTACCTCTTGTTTGTGTTTTTGTAGGAGTTGAAATGCCCCCCAACCAGGACAGGGACCGACAGAGGAGAGGCCACAGCAGCCACATGGCCATATTTTACGGCCATGCATGAGGCCATCGGTGGGAGGCCATCCATCGACCCTCCCACCCTGATGGACTCGGCCACTGCTGCTGTTGCTTCTGGCAGTGGCTCAACATCCACTGAGGCTGTCCAGAGCCAGGCCACAGTGGAGGATGAGGAGGCCGCCAAGTCTGGCTCGGACAGACAGGAGGATGTTGAGCCATCCACCTCTGCCGGTCCCCCGCCCCGAAAAAAAAGAAAACGCAGTTTATTGCAGTTCCTGGAGGTGGAGGCGGCCAACGAGGGGGACCGCTTCAACCGCCAGCAGGCAGCCAGCGAGGAAACCTCCAAAAGATTCCTCGACTTATTTGAAGCGTTAGTTCGAAAATAATAGTTTCCGTTCTTTGTTTTTCGTTCGTGGATTTGTTATATTGTTTTGTGTGAAGTTTATGAAAATATTTAAGTTTGGAATACAAATTAAGTTTGACGTTAAATCAGTAGCCTTCTTTACAGTTCGAAATACAGAACAAAAACCAACACATGTTTACTGAAAATATAGAAGGACATCTTTATTTTATACAAAGCTCAATATGTTATGATTGTGACATGACTAAAAGGCCAATGTTTTTAAACTCATTGTGCAACCCAAGGTATACTGAAACTCATAATGACCACTTTCATTTCTGAATTGTAAATCTCCTCAAATAATTCTGCGCTACCAACCGTGTGTAAATTATCCAAATGCAATATCAGGGATGTTTTATTAATAAATCGAGTCAAGTTACAGCATGCTCAAGCCCTATAAGTAGCTACAATTACTAACACATGTATCTTCTTTCTTTTAAAGTTCAGTCAAAGCATACCAATATTTTATTACTGAACATGACTCGATTTCAACACTAAACGTAACACTTTCAGACGAAATTCTGTGATGGCCTATTTCACATCGCATACAATTTGTAATAAAGACATGTGTCTGTAAAGTCCTTTGCTCTAAATAAACGTGAGCAAGGTGACATTGGAAATAAGGCTTATAAATGGCACAAACAAAAGAACAGAGTAATGCATCTGGCCAGTAAATGCATTTTTAACCTGTCAACAAAACTAATGGGTAACAAAAAAACTGGCCAAAAACATATATCCTCTCAGCAGTAATCGTGGTCCTGCAGCTGGACTGGGTTGTGGTCAGGAGCCGAGATTTGGTCTGCCAGTCTGTCTCTCCGGCCCTGTCCACCTCGCCCCCCCTCACAGGACGAGGTGGAGACCTCTCTACCCCCTCCTGCTCCTCCTCCTCCAACAGTTCAAGAATGTCTCCTGCAGTAAGGCAGATGTTGTGTAGGACACAGCAGGCAGTGACCACAGCAGGGACAAAGTTATGGTTGACCTCCAAGGCCTTCGACAGGAGGCACCTCCATCGCACCTTCAGTTTCCCGAAAGCGCGCTCTATTATGCTGCGTGCTTTTGCATGGCAGCCGTTGAATCGGCTCTGTACCCTCCCCTGTAGTGGCTCCCGATACGGGGTTACAATCATTATGGGGTGTACAATGCAGGGGTAGCCACCATCCCCCACAATGAAGTACCCTGGAGGAGGATAAAGAGCCTCTTTATAGAGGGCACTGTGCTTCATGACACGGGTGTCGTGGACTGAGCCCGGAAATCCTACAAATGTTTGTAGGAATCTCCCCTTCCCATCGCATACAGCCTGCAGCTGTATGGATGGGAAGAGCTTCCTATTCACATAATCCTGGCCAGTGGGTCCGGATGGGGTCCTGATGCGTATGTGGCACCCGTCTATTGCACCCACACAGGAACTGAATGCCGGGCTGTTGGCCAACTGCTGGAAGCCCTGCCCGACCTCCTCCAGCTCTGGACCAGCAGGCAGCTTGATGAGGGAATGCCGGAGAGCAGCGATGTCCTCCACTCCCTGGTGGACCAGTCTGTGGACCGTTGAGAGGGGTACCTGAAAGGCCCGGGACACCACACTGTATGACAAACCGTGTGCCAGCCAGTACACGGTCGTCAAGACAGTCATGTGGTGTCCCCAGGCCTGTCTCCTCTCAGGCCCCAGACACCGCATCAAGGCCTCCAGGGAGTCTCGGCGGATCCTGAAGTCCTTCAGCAGGCACCCATCACCCTCGAAGTACAGTTTAAGCACTGGGACACTGCTGTTCAAACGTTTGTACTGAGAGTGTGGGTGCTGAACCTACAGGAAGAATAACATGTACAGAGGTCAATACCTTTATCCAGCAAACTAAACTCCTTTATCCCGCAATTTAAACTGCACATAAATATTCTGTCATAAGGAATAAAGCCATGGCTAAATCTGGCACATTTGATGGTCTCAAGTGCTCGTGTTAACTAATGTGCATGGTCCCTTCTTGAATAAATACAACTACATAATCCAAAACACAACTGTCTCTTTGACAAACATGCTTTTTCTCTGACTCTCTGGCTTAGGCCTATGTGTGTCATGATTGTCTTGCTACAAGTAGTTGGTAATTTTTGTATTCCAATTAAAAAAGCCAGCTATTTTTCAACCATTTCAAACATTTGTAAACAAACACTCATAAATACCTCAAGATGAAGCAGGATGGCATTGCACATTCTCGCTTTCCAGCGCTGGGAACGACGTCTTTCCTCACGGGATTTTGTTTTCTGCTCGTGCCACTGCCATAAGGCACACACTATTGCGGTCTTCATTCTCAATATTGAGACTATAAATCAGAGGTGTGCCTGGACCTTATATAGGCTGTCAGGTCCCTCATGATTTGGTAATTGATTAGAAATTTGGTGCAGGTGTTTTGTCAAAGACGTGTGACTTGATGACTTATCATTAAGCCTAGTTTAAAAAGGTAAACACTACTGTGTATAGTTTATCAACAGTCATTGGGTTTTTTAGGCGTTTGTGTGTGTGCATGTGTGAATATATCAAACGTATATAGCACTTTATTGAGTATTTTCATACTAATATTTTAGTGCGCCGCAATACAGAAGAGATGCAGGCCTGTGTTACATTATACATATTCATACATTCTTGACATACTATGCCTTGTTGCAAATTGAATTAAAAGTACATATGTGGGGGAACAATGTTCAGCTGATGTAACAGAGATTATAAAATACAGCGCTGTGACAAAACACTCGACAGCTGATGCAGCTGTTGCCACGTAATAATGAACGGACGTCGCTTTAATATGACCGCTCAGAGGAGAGGAGTTCTCATTTCTTTAAACGTCTGCTGCTTCCCCTCCTCGGTCCTCCGCTCGCATCTCCTGTAGGCGGGTCTAAGTCTCGAGGAGGGGAACCGAGGAGGGGAAATTTGAGTATTGAGAAGCCTCTAGTGCAGGCATCCTCAAACTACGGACTCCGGTCCGGATCCGGACCGAACCACTACTGTCTCCGGACTCTGAGCAAATTATACTTTTCATATGTATTATCTCTCTGTATTATATGTGAGACATCGCCACAACGCATTCGCAACGAGTCAAAATTCTCCGCTATGTCCACTGCAAACAGCGCTCTGCATGTCTGACTGTTCCACTGTGTTCCACCTGTGTGTGTCAACGCTTTGGTCCAATCACATTCAGCATCCAGTCAGCGTTTTTTCCCCCCAAACAATCTGCGAATCAGAGGCACAGTAGGGCGGGTCTTCGCGGACTGCGGGTGGGAAAAATGTGTGTGTCTCTTTCAACCTGTCTAAGTCAGAGCGAGAATTAAAAAAAAAAAATTCAGAGCGAGAATTAACAGCTCATCTAGTTCCATCTGTACTGTAGCTAGTAGCCTAGTTTCACCTACCGGGGTGGCAACTGACACCCTAAAAATAGGCCTTGCCACCCCAGCTGCCACCCCAGTTGGCAGCTTTGTTTTGAAAGAAAAGTTGTGGCTCATCGGACATTTATGAGAGAAAGTCTCTAATGTCCGAGTGCAAGTGAATGCAGCACAAGATGCACGTCATGTAACCCCTCCCCCGGTCCTGGCGCGAGCGTGGACATACGATTGGCGGCGATTTCATTTTGAACTGGACGGCGCAAAACGAGAAGCATTCGGACCCAAGCGCTGAAGGAATGAGGTATTTGCGGTCTACACTGACAGAGAAGAGACTGTCAGTTTGGCTGTACTCAGCATTGAATCAAAACGCACTGAAGCTGTTGATCTTAATACGTTTGTGAGGCGTTTTGCTGAACAAAATGGTAATCGCCGCATTCAGCTGTAATAGACATGCCAACTTGATGCTCTGCTCACGGATGAGCATACACAACTATTAAGATGATGACCTTACGTGTGTAAATATATTTTTTTCTTTGAGGGGGTCTGCCCCCAAAAAACTGTTTTAAGTCCTGAGAAAGTCAATTAACTAGGCCAGTAGGTAAGGACTTTCCACTGGATAATAACTGAAGTATAAAAGAATGCATGACTGAAGTGATGGAGACCATGTTTGAAGGCAAACAAAAAGAGGAAATAACAGGTCAAATCAAGCAAATCCCCTCTCAGATTCCACAGCAACCAGAAGAACAGAAATACTGGCTGGTGATTTGATTCATCAGCTTTGTGATGGAATAAAAAATGCACAGTGCATTTCCTTAGCTGTGGGTGAGTCCACTGACACCACTGACAATGCTTAGTTGCTGGTGTTCGTGAGTTTGTATGATGAGGCAAAGGGGGAGTTTGTTGAAGATGTGTTGGGCCTGACGAACCTCAGTGGACGCACAAGGGGGAATACATTTATAAAGCAATAATGGGAATGCTGAATGAAAGAGGGTGCAGCTGCCTTTATTCATAACTGTGCAGCTCTTACACTGCGACTCTGAGGGGTCAAGCACAGACACAATAACAATGAAAACGGCTGCATACAGATTATTTTTGTTTTTGCAACCTCGTGTTAAGAATCTTGTTGCAATTGTTTAAAAGTTTGAATGACCGTAATAAACGGACCTTTGTCTTATTGAAACATTTATTTTGGACCTTTAAGATTTGTATTTGAGTACCCCTGCTCTAGTGTGTTGGTTCGGGGCCGTCTCTTACCAATGACGTCACGCATTGTACGCATTGTGATTGGCTGTACGGTAATTTACCCAGGGGTGCTCGGGGGTAAATCACATCTACAGATCATGACAAACCGAATGAAAGCGTGTGAAAATGTTTGTGAAAAACATGTTAAAAAAACATGAAAACGGAGCAATGGCTGTATTGAGAGGCGAAGTCCCTCCCCTTCCGAAAGCCTCCATGGGACCCCGGAAGCGGAAAATTATACATTGAAGTCAATGGAGAGAGAAAGGTTATCTTTTGATCCCGTTTGAATTGTGCCACGAATGACACATATGATGTTTGTCAATTTAAAAGAACATTTTGCAAGTCAAAAAAATAAAAATGTGTCGTAAAACTGTGAAGTTACAATTTTTTTGTGTGAAACCGCTCAGTGAACTACAGGTCTCTGGTCTCGCACAATACGCGTCACCAACATAAAGATGGCCGTCACGTTAGCACATTTCACCACATTCTTTCAGAATGAGAATACAATTATTTTACGAGGTGAAAATCACTACAAGTCTGGGCACGTTGAGAGCTGTACCTATATGAAAGGGGAGTTAGTCGGTTCTGTAAGAGCCAGCATGCGGGACCGGCTTTACAAGGTTTCGGTGAGTAATATGAGTGCAATGTTTAACGTTAATGTCAGCTAGCTAACATTAGCTAACAAGGTACACTAACGTGTTTTGTTTTAGCAACTAGTTTTCTCCTTAAGAACTTCGTGGTCTCTGTGTATGCTGTGGATAACATTAGTGTTCACAAGAACAAGGTACACTCCCGTGTTTTGTTTTAGTTGCTCTTCAGATTGAAGCGGCCAGTTTTATATCGACTATAGTCCAGGGGTGGCCAACCCGCGGCTCTCGAGCCGCATGCGGCTCTTTGCCTAGTTTCATGCGGCTCTTCAGTTCATATCGAATTGTATATGTGTGAGTTTGGGGGAGAGACACTGACTCCTGACTAGTGTTGCACGGTGTACCGATACTTGAAAGGTACCGCGATACCCTGCCGTTAAAAACGTTACTATTCCTCCGTTTCATTAGTATCGGTACTTTAAGAATGACGGGGAAAAGTACTCCGGTGAGAAAGCGCCGTTTAATAAGAGCCGTGTGTGTTCAGCGCTCTGCTTCCACTCCCTGCACTGCAGCCGTGCCTGCAGTCCCGCCCCTCTCAAGCACGCTCAAGTGCCTCCCCTCTCTCGTGCACGCGCTAGCTGCCAGAGCACGTGAGAAAACGAGAAGCATGGCTGCAAGTGGGAGTGCAGCTGCCGCTGCGCCTCAGTTTGTTGACAAAACAGACGCCAGAAGTGACATTTGGAAGTATTTTAGCTATATCTCTGACAGTGAGAGCAAGCCTACGGACACCACGAGGCCTGTCTGTAAGAAATGTATTAATTTTATTTAATACGAATTCTTGTCATTTCTTTTATTTATTGTTCTCATTGTTTAAAAGTGTGTGTTATGGTTATGGTTCTGGTGTGAAATAAAGCACAATAATTACATTTAAGACTGTTTCCCTTTTTTTAAGAAAAGAATCGGAATCGCAATTCTTGACTTGGTATCGAAACCAAAATGTTGGTATCGTGACAACACTAGCTAGCTACTCCTGACAGTTAAACCTGATATTTAGTAGGTCTGTTAAGTATTGAATGCTGATCATTCTGACGTAATTTGGCCGGTCAAAGTTGTTTGGGCTCGGATAAAATCGCTCCGTTACTTTCGTCCCGTGTTACTTTCGTCCCGTGTTACTTTCGTCCCGTGTTACTTTCGTCCCGGCTCTCCCTACGTGTGTATGTGTGGTGTCAGGTGTCAGTATGAGAGGATGACAGCGCGTCTAATTTTGATGTGGCCCAAGAGCCAATCACAATAATACCTGTGATGCAGTGAACCAATCACCTTTGAGGGGGGGAAAACCTATCGTTGATTAAACACTATCCAGTGTTTCCCCTACCATTGTCTTGGAGGGGCGCTGCGCCCCGCCAACGGAGCCCCGTGCCCCCCCCTGAAATTCAAGGTGTTTAAAATATATATATATAATTATTATTTTTTTTAAATATATATATAGCACCAAATTGCAAATAATCTATAACTACTGTCACTTTTAACATTGAACATGTGCTCTTTTATTAAATAAACTAAACACTTTCATTTTAAGTTGTGAGTTTAGTGTTTTTGACCCTAAGAAACACTGATGCATTAATCAATAACAATAATCCACAGCTCCTCTCTCTGCTCCAGAGGATTTAAAAAAAAAATATCCCAATGCCACAAAAATGCATCAGTGACGTGGTTGAAATCTTGTCTCCAGAAAACAAAAAACTGAAACAAGCGGTATCAGTGACTGTGTGTTTGATGTGGCTCTTTGCAGTAAAATAGAAAAAATGTGGCTCTTAACCTCTGACTGGTTGGCCACCCCTGGACTATACTGTATGTGTGATCTCCTTTTTCTCGTTGTGTCATTTGACTTTATTTGCTGTGTGTAGATTCAAGGATTTTGGTTATCTAGGCACAGCTGTGTGTGACTCCCTCTGGTACACTGGTATGTGTTTTCCTAATGTAGAGAGCATTGATTAATTAATAAAC